AACCCCCATTCCCCGTCCCCCTGCACTGATGGGGGGAGGAGGGAGAACATGGAAGGAAGAAGGGTGTTTTTTAAGATTATTTTACTTCTCAGTCTTTGCTCTTATCCTGTTACTAATAAATTTAAGTACTATCCCCACTTTGAGTCTGTTTTGCCCATGAAGGTAATCAGTAACTGACCTCTCCCAGCTGTTACCTCACCTCACAAATCCTTAGCTGTTTTTTTTTCTCTCCTCTGTCCAGTTCAGAGGGGGATGAGAGAGTGGCTTTAGTGGGTACCTGGCATCCAGGCAGGGTCAACACTACAACAAATTAGTGCTGATTCTGAAACAAACTTGTGCTATAATGCTAGTTGTCTGTCTGGGGGCAAGAGAAGTGTTGTGATGCAGTAAGATGCTCAAAAAACAAGCTGAATTTCCAGTATGTTGTACACCAGGACATAACTGATGCTGGTGCTGTTAATATATGCATGAAAAATATGAGTATTATTACTATAATTAGTAATTTTCATTATAATTAACATAGCAACAGTATGAGTATATAAAAAAAAGAAAAGGGATTACACAATCCTTGTACTACAGCAAAGCTCAGTGATTTAGAATTTTACTTATGCACAGCAGAAATAACCATGTCAGCCAACAAGTGCAGTTGTATGGTCAAAAAGTTAAATATTGCTCCCTGCTTATATACTGATGACAGACTCACAGAATGACTGAGGAAACTTGGATATCACTCATAAAAAGTTTGAAAACTTGACAAGTAAAAGACATAAGTGATGCTTATAGTCAAACAATAGTTTCTTTAGGTAAGATTTTATGTCCTTTTTAACTTGTGTAAATACATGAGGATATATGTCTCATTCCATGATCTGTTTGCTTTGTGTCCAAAAATGGGATTCTTGCTCTTTGATTTGTAGATGATCCAGCATCATGCTATTATTAAATAAAAATGCACTTTGTCACACAAGTTGAATGCTTCTAATGTGGCCCTGTTTATGGAATCTGCTTTCTTAAATATTTCATAGTTGCTTCCATTTGAAGTCTACCTTACCATAATCTATCTTTTAGGCATTCAGCATTATCTTGCAGTGTGGAATTCAAATTTACATTCATCATAATTTCTGAGGAGAAAACCGTAGTAATAATGCAATTTCATATCATGTCTGTATTGATTGTGGGGAGATGAATTTTTTTCATGGAAAAATCTTAGAGAGCTTGTATAACACAAGTTTCTTTTCTCTCTGGCATAATTAATTTTATGGCAAGATGTGAAAGATTCATTTCATTTAGTGTACTCAGAAATACTACGCTTTTCAGCTTTTGCATGCTAACCTTTTCCATTGATGAAACTTAAAAAGCTGCTGAGAAAGACCGAAAAACCAAAGCTTCTGATTAAATATACCCCAAAGTTAATGAAAATTTGGCCAATGGTGTTCCGTTTGAGTACAAAGGCAAAACTGTAATTTAACTTGCTTTAGAGCAATATTGAGAATTTCTTGTATTTTCAGTCATCATTTAAAACAGTAACATCTTTGGTTGTCTTTTTCAAGAGGGAAAAAGAGAAATAATGTTGTAGTAGAGGACAAAATATTACTTTTTTCAAATGTACATGCTTTGTTGGTCATTACGAGAAAACTTTGCACATGGAAAATGAATGGATTGAAATAACCAAAAAGAGGACAACAGCATCATTGTATCTGTGAGTCCCTTTCAATTCATTCATTTAGCACAACTTGTAAGATCAGCAGCACACTGAGGAATTGATATTGGCAAATGAATGGCGTTTCTGTGCCTACATCTTCTTCATTTTCTCAAACTATTGCATCACAGGAGGGCTAGAGAACAGCACAGAAAGGGATTAAAATAACCAGGTTTTTATATAATATACTAATTTTTGCTATGTAAAAGGAAGAAAAAATAAAAATGAGGACTTGATTTCTTCTGGTTTTTATTGAAGCAACATGTAGCAGAGAACCTAATCTGAAATCTCGAACTAAATCTTGAAATACCTTGTCTCCAGGCACCATGGGCTCTACCTGCCCAATCACTTTGTTCTCACAATATAAATCAGTGAAATGAAGAAGGCTCATGGACCCCTTGGGATCTCAGGTTGTGAGCATCATTTACGCACTGTGCCCATTTCATCAGTGTGAGACTGGACAGGCTGTAAGCAGAAAGAAGTATTTTGTTACACAGATTTGTATTTTTTTTAAGTTTGTTTGTTTGTTTTTTTTCCCAAATACTATGAATAAATGCACTCATTATTAATGTCTACAGAGAAATGAAGATCAACTGCAGTACCAGCTATTGAGTTCACACAGTATCTAGTACATAATTCCTAAGGAACACATTGCACAGAACTGTTATTGCTTGCCAAAATCAAATGAGAAACAGAAAAGTTCCCAAAATAACCAAGGTGAAATTGGTGCAGTACCCCGACATACATTAGTGTCACAATGCAAACAATGAAGTGTTAATTCACCTTTTTCGACACCTATCTGAGATTATACAGATAGAAGGCGAGAAACTACTAAAATATTGAAACAACAAAAGTCTACTAGATTTAAAAAAGATGGAAATTTATTTGCAAAAATGTAACTTTCCATTAGAGATTCTTAAAATGAAGAAAATTCATCTCAAGTTCTTAATACATGCAGCTTTGAAGTGAAGCAGTGCTAATAGCCTCATACAGTACTCAGAAAGGTTCATTTTGAGTGAAAAAATTGCCCAAACTCTTCAATTTTTTTTGGTGTTTTCATACCAAACATGATGGAAAGGGGCAGAAGAAAAAGGCAAAAACAGGACTTCTGAGAATTTCTGACATGTTTTTTCAAGAGTCTATCCTTTCTCCTCAGAATAGGTGGAATTCAATTTGGCAAACTTTGCTACAGCCTGGAGGTGCCTATCTCTGAGCTATTCTAGGTTCCCTGTGTGATCCATGGAGAAAAGTAGGCTCTTCTAAGGGGTGACTCATATAATCTATTTCAAACACCTACTCTCAGAGAAGATGTCCATATAGGAGCCTAGGGTGTCTGGCTCAGATGTGTGTGTCTCCACTTGGCCAGATGAACCTTACCCAGTATGTCTATGCTGTAGACTGCCAAGAAACAAGATAAATTTAGCTGTATAGAGCTCAGTGCTGTCACAGTGAGGTTTTTAAAAGCTAACTCAGGTATTTCTGACTCCACCCCATGTGCAGTGTGGGACTAAGGAAACCAGGATTTAGTGAAGAAATGTCCTGTAGGAGGAGTTAAAGTATGATTTGACTTCTGTACTGGTGAAACTGCTGCTGAGGTCTGACTCCAGTTGTGGTGCTGATGTTTTAAACAACTCTGAAATCCTTCCAGCACAGTCAGAGGTCTGGACATGCTGCCTGTCAGGAGAAGTGAAGAAGCTCAATCTTTTTATTTTGACAAAGAAAAGGTTAGCACGTTATTTTATCATGGTTTCAGAGTTGCTACACAGCGACATTTTTTGATACAGGATGACAATTTAATCTAGTGAATGAAAGCAGGATGCTACTCAATCTCTAAAACCAGATTATTTCAGGTGACAAAAAAAGCACTTTTACAGCAAGGCTAAATAACTACTGGAATAACTTTATCTGGAGTTTTATAGATTATTCTTTTCCTTGAAAATCCTTTTAAATCTAGATATGATACAGCACAATGAGCTCTTACTGCTTTAATGAAGGAATTAAACAGTGAAATGTTGTGACCTGTGAAGTGAGACTCTGAAGATATCCCTTCTGGCCTAAAAAGCTGTTTAATGGACCCAGTGCAGCACTGGATCTGCACGTCTCACAGTCCTGGGAAATCTGCATTTCAAAAAGGGCTATGCAGCCTTTCCCATTTCCAATACAATCACTGTCAATCACCTGGCCCTATCTTCCTCACATTATGTTCCTTTAATAAGGTTTTTGATCTGAAAATGTGCTCGGTAAACTAGCTTTCTGTGAGCTGGACTCATTTTATAGAAACATAGATAAGGGAGGTGTAGAAGCAGAGGGTGCTGGAGCTGAAGGTCGTGACTGTAAGGTATGTCACAGGGCTTAAGTTTGAGGTATTTTGCTTTTACTACCAATTCTCTGCTGAATTTTCTTTATCACCATTGTGTACCAGAAGACCTTTAGTAAGCCAAATATAAATCTCCTGCTTAATTTTGAGAGAAGAAAATGAATACTTCTCTTCAACTCCAGGCAACAAATACAGGTCCCTGTGTTAGGAATCTAATCTGTCTGTGCTTCTCAGAGTGAAAGAAATTTGAATTTGTGCTTTGTACCTCTCTCTGGAGGATGCTCTGTTGAGAGCTAGAATTATAGGAGATGAGTCTTTGCTGAAATTATATTATTAAACTAAATATAAATATATAAATAATATAATATTATTATATTATTAATATCTCTCCCTCACCCTACCCCCCACCCCCCAATGTCTCTTTCTTTCTCAGACTTTATTGAGGCTGAATAAGATCTTGGCCACATCTGTATTTCTCATCCCATCAATAAAATATTTTTCTTCCTTGAATAACTTTGGCTTGGGCAGAACTAGAGCATTTCTGTTAAAGGATAGAACTGCAATTCTGTACTGTCCGCTTTGTTTTGTAGGTGTTCCCATTTTGGGTATGTTCCCTTCTCTTCCCTGTTCAGAGCATGCAGGGCACACATCTGAGATGAGCTGTGAAAGATTCCTATACTGTGTTCCCCTACCTTTACCAAGAGGCTAAAAAATGGAATACATCTTGGAAGATGCATCGCAGTAAGAGTGCACAACCCCTTGAGAAACATGGAATTGTGTCAACAAGTTTCTGAAATGGAAATTTATTGTTGAGTGGAAACATATTTTGGTTTTGCACTATTGGATTTTCTACTCTGTAATTAAATAAGAGCAGCCTCACAGAAAGCTGAAGCATCTTAAAGAAATGATGCACTTTATAGAAGAAAAAACCTGTAGTCATTAAGATTTAATTTTTTTTCACTGATCCCCACTCTTTCTCTTTGACAGAATGGCATCAGTCATCCAACACTGTAGCAGCACTGATCTGCACGACTGAATGGTTTTGAAAAACATCTCATCTAGAAATCAGACCTTTTGCATAAAGGCTTTCAGATGACACTGCACCTTGCAGCTGTGTCTCCAGCAAGGACTGCTTCTGCACAGGAGTGAAGGTACTGCTCTTCCTCTTCCCTTCCAGGCCCCCTCTGTCTGTGTGTTCTCACGTGTCTTGGTCTAGTCCAGTCTATCACATCTCCTGGTTGCTTGAGGGCAAGGCAAGGTTTCAGTTCACTTCCTGATTGCCTCTACTCTGGAGTGAGGAGGTGGAGAAATTCGTAACTAAGGTCCTTTTCTTATATTTCAGTTCCTAGGAGTCCTCTTTTACCTTTCCAGAATGCCTTTTGATCTACCTGTGCCAGCGAAAGCATTTGTGAAATGTGATGACCCCTCACAATGTTCTTACTCCTTGCTGTCAGCTTTGAAAAAGACAGTGATGCTGATAAGTGATGTCTACTGTGATGTTGCTGGGGTACGAATAACGCTAGAGCTTAGGCTTTGGAGTGGGTTTCCAGTAGAGAAGGGCTTAAATAGTTACATTTCATTAACGTAATATTGACAAATCGTGGAGCCCCTGGTGGTCTAGTGGTAAGGGTGCGGCGCTATCACCGCTGAGACCCGGGTTCGATTCCCGGTCAGGGCCACTCCCGGGCAGGTGGGGCTCGTTAGCCCTTAAAGGCAACCCACCTACGTCCTAAGGACCTCACTGCCACCGTCCAAGCTCGCTTGGCCCCGGCAGATGAACCTTAGGATTAAAGGGTGGGCTCAGTTCCGCGCACACTGTGTCTCACCTAAAAAATCCAATGCGCAGGCTGGAAGGTGTAAAGACCTTCCCCGGATCTTCGCTCGCGAAGACTGGCCATTATTATGTATTATTGACAAATCATATAAAATAACAATGTACAATTAACAATAAAATGAGGAGATGTCATGTGTTCCTTTTGTAATAATTTTCATAGGGGAGACAAATGAAGTAAGAAGATAGAGTAAAGTTGTCCACTGTGGTAAGAAAGCAGTGAAACTTCCCAGAGTCTTTAAACTCTTGAATTAAACATATAATGTACATTGTACATCGTACTAAAAAAAAAGTGTAATTGCTGCACATTAGCTTTGGAGAGTGATGCAAATTGCACTATTGATGCCATCTTTGCATTTAGATTTGTAACTACTTCTTGTTCTGTCAAAACATAACTGCATTTTTACTCCTGCTTGTTTTATTAAACCAGTTTGAATTTAGGTGAGGAACTTAGCTTGTCTGGTGAGCTTGCATATTATTAGCAAACTTTGCTAGTAACATGGGAGTCATCTGCACTAAGTTTGATGTCTGAGTCCAAGTCTATTGCCCTCCATTTACAGGCAATAAAGTGAACAGGCAACTCTAGAAGGTGATGCTCTCATGGTAAGTTAGCTCAGATAAGGGAGATTAATTGCTCTTTTCAGGTGCTTTTTTTCAATTATCAGCCACAGAAAAGGAATAGGCAAGGCTTAAATCTTTCTTTGTTTCTTTATTTGTCTTTGTTAGGCACTTCAAGGAAAGAAGATAAACCCCTATTTTGTCATGGATCAATGGAACAGTTTTTGGGTCCTGTTAATTTTTGTAAGATAAGGTTAATTTGTATCGTTGCAGCTATTTGTGGTTATATGCTTGTTTTGCAAAAGAAGTTCAGGGAAGGGAAAGAAAATGAGAAAACCTTGAAGTGACCTAATGTAGTTTCCTGGTTTGTTTGGATATCACTCACAGTAATAGCCCTGTAAATATAGAAGAGGGTCCATGGGTCATCAAGATGCTCAGGGGCTGAAAGCTCCTGAACTACAGTGAGAGGATGAGGGAATCAGTGAAGAAATCAAAGGACAGGTATAGCATAGAGTAGTATATAACTACTTAAAGAACAGGGATAGAGAAGACAGAGCCAAAGTCTTCTTGGCATAGTCAAAAAATATAGCAAGGGATAAATGACCACACTGAAGGCTGGAGGGCTCAGCAGATGTGAGGAGAAGCCATGTGTCTGGGTGGGAGGATCCCTCTTTGCCTGTTGGAATGTTCAGGACTGAGCTAGACAAATCCATGGCAGAGCTGATCTGGGTATTGGGCGGGAGGCTGCTCTGAGTGACCACTGGAGGTGTCTCCCAACCACTGTCCTTAAAACTTTCTTCTCTTTACTCTAAGGAAACCAATCTCTTCCCGTGCAGTTATACCCTCAGAATCTGGAGCCTAACTCTGGTCTCTTCTTCCCAACCCTAATGTTCTTCTCACCCCGTGAACTCCTGAAGCATCTGTGCAGTATGGGGGTATGCTCCTGCTGTTCCTGGCTCATAGACCATTTGCAAAGTGCTCCTAATTTCACTGAATCATTCCACTTAGGGCATTGCCCTGTGACACTTGTGTTCCATCAATACCAATGAGGCACCTGAAATTAGATTTTCCATATGTAAGGTGGGTGTGCTTTAATGATTAACCTATTGTCTTTTCTGGGGAAAAATCAGAAATAAAAAGATGTTCTGAGGGTCCCAGCTTTCTCTAACTGGGAAGTGAGTTTATAGGATGGAGATAGCGAATGTTTTCTGATCTCTAAATGCAAACTGTGATTGCAGAATTTTAATTTCCTGTTGGGTACTGGAACTAGACAGTACAACTTTTACAAAATAAACTGCTTTGCAAGTCTCGTAATTTTGAAACAGTAACTACTGTCGTAGGGAAAAATTAGGGAAAAGAGAAATGCATGGAACTGGAAAGTGCTATTTTAGCATGGCTCTTCAGCATGAAAGAGCATCTTAAAATCTTCCATAGCTTGGTCATCTTGATACCAAGTCATCTTGATATTTCTTCTGTCTCATTAATCCCCTCCTATTTTAGATGATATAAGCAAATGCACTTCTTTTGAATGTTATCACTTTAATCCCTCTTCACCTTGAGTTCACTACAGGAAATGATATTTTTTTCTGTTGAAAAGATTGTGGAATGAGCACAGCTTTTTGCTAGTAGAAAAAATTTATTTGTTTATTTTGTTATATTAGTGCTATGATCTCTCTTGATTTCCAGGCTAAGCATAGTACAATGTATTTTTTTAAATACCAGTTTATTACAGCTTGAAGAATTAGAGAACTGAAAGAACTCTTGCGTCTTTTTCTTCAATGATCCATCAACCTCGTAGACTGTTCTGGTTCTTTGCCCTCAGAGAAGTTATTTTATATTTGGTTGATTTTAAACTGCATTTTTATTTTATTGATCTATCCAGTGACTATACAACTTGCAGACCCCTATCATTGTGCTGTGATACTGAGCATTACACTTTGTTTCCAGCAAATAAAGCCAGTAAAAATTTATGTACCTTAAAGGCAAATAGGAATCTTGCATTGTCCGTCTGCACTTAAAACACAAGAATAGTGAAAGTTTTCCTGTTCGATTCCTTTTTCTGAGCTTCATTAGTGCAGTCTCATGGTAATGTGTCTCTGTCACACATAGTTTCTTATTTCACTTCGTAATTATCCCCCTTGTATGAGGTGACTCAGAAAGAGACAAAAAGAAGCAAAGGTGGGACTTTTTAACCTTTTGAAATGCCTGGCAGGTTGTATAAGAGGATGATAAAGGAACCAGAGCCCTATATGACACCAGGGTGGAGGAGTGGTTGATAGGCTGGAGGACAGACTGGCAAAAATGGCAAAGTCCAGCACCTGGGGCAGGATAACTCAAATGCCAGTATAGGCTGGGGCAGCTTTGCAGAAGAGGTGTGTGGGTCCTCTTGTACAGCACAGCAGAGTCTCTGATGACCATGGAAGGAACCACAAAGCTGTTAAACAAGGGTCACAAGGCTTCATTTGGAGTCCTGTGCCTGTGAGTGCTCAAAACCAACTGGAGGTATGTTCCAGAGAGCTGTATAAGCTCCGTGCTTTAATGCAGCACCATGGATGTGAGTGATAGCTGCTGTGTGTGTAGAATGGCACCTGTTGGGATGCTCATAAACCACAGGAATCCTCAGTGGTCATTATAGGAGAGTAACAGAGCAGGCGAGAGAGCAAACTATGAAAATTGAGTAGAGAGGGTAAGTTCTAGTTGTTTTGGTGCATAAAGCAGATTTTTGTGAACAGCCTGACTCCTACAGCTGTAAGGGGTGATGCAGTCAGGAGACTTCCAGCCTGACTCCTACAGCTGTAAGGGGTGATGCAGTCAGGAGACTTCTTTTAAAAGAGAAGAGAATATTGCTATCAGGCTGTTGAGAGATCTGAGATTCAGATTGAGCTGGTTTCCCCCAGAGGTCTTGATTCTTCTCCATAAACTACAGATGGTGTGTAGGACAACAGTTTCTAAATGGGGTGTCACATCTATGTTTAAAAAGCTAGGCAAGATGAATCTGGGTCAGTTCTGGGCTGAGTTTTGTCAGTAATATTGCAATCAAGATTAAAGCTTCAGAGAGTTTACATTCACTTTTCACTCTGTTCTCTGCACCCTTTTGTCACAGTCTGACTCACCACTACACTTTTAAATGTCAGTTCTCAACTTGTTAAATCACATCTCTAACTCTTAAGTGAGGAAACTAATTTATTTTAAATAATTAAGCTTCAAATTTAGCCTTTTCTTCCTCCAAAAACTGGAATGCAGCAGACCAAGAAAGACTAGGTTGTACTGGTTGATTGTGGCAAGTGCATAGTCCATATGCGCTGAAGATATCAGAAGCAGTAGTAAAGGCTGTTTGTCAAACATGCAAGATGAGACCAGATTTGCATTGAAAATTAGCTGCAGATGTGGGGACAGCCACCTCAGCTGTGAGCTACACCAAAGGTTCGAGATCGCTGCTTCAGGAGCTGTATCCTCACCTGTCTGGCACACTCTGACAGAGCTGCAGTGAGGTCCTGTCTTGTTGCTGCTGATTTTGACTTTGCTATGGGATCATCTGTCCTGTCTCCCATAATGTGAACAGTCAGGTAGTGCCAATACCACAAGTGGTGAAAGGTTATCTTCCTGAAGGGCTCAAACCAGCAAACACAGAGCTGCTGCTCTGCCAGGAGATCATGGAAGATTTGGTACCTCTTCCAAGTGCATTTGTGCTGTGGCTGAGCTGCCTGCTGTCCTGGACACTGTCTGGGAGGCCGTTTGTCTCAACAGATCTCACATCTCCTCAGCATGAAGGGGCCATGTTTTTGGTGCACTAGGAGCTGTAATCACTACTGCAGGCCAGAGTTTGGCTGAAGGCAGAGCTAAACAAAGGCAGACCAGCATTCCAGGTGTGGCCTGACTGGACTGTCCTTTCTTCACTTAGTTCTCTTTTAGTGTCAGCAGGGTCCAGGTTTAAAAGAAATAGAGTAACACCCCAGGGTGCTTGTTTTTAGCTGTACCTGGACTTCGGCTGGCATTGGCTAGGCTGAAAGTTCCCATGATCTTCACTGAAGTCTTTTAGAGTTATTTGACTTTTTGTTTTTCAACACATCACACAGTTCTCATGTGTGATGTGTTGTCAGTGTCTACAAATCCCTAACTTTCATTAGAAAATGCTTAACTAGTACCAAACTGTGATGAAACTCTTGAAACTGTGACCCAGCTACATGTGTTGTCTGTCAAACTAGAAGATGATGACAGATCATTCATAAAATATATTCTGTTTCTCTCAATATTTAAAAATAAAATGCAGATTATTCTGCACTGAGCATCTGATACAGGAAACAACTTAAGTGCTGAAACATGTGTTGTTATTCTCAAAGCAACAAGTCTGTCCAGATCATCTGCCTTAAAGTATAAAGGATTGTACTTGGCATATGAACTGAGGGAAGCTTTTTTAGTTCTATTTTACAGGTCAGAACCAATGGAATAGGAAAACATGGCACAGTGTCTCTGTGACTCCTTGCTTCTCTATGCTGAGGACTGTGGCACAACCAGTAGAAGCAGAGCCATCAGGGTTGGTGGTATAACACACGTGTGCACTAGAAAGACTTGGAACAGAGCATCCTCCATGGAATGGGGATCTTCAGGGAGCACAGCCTGGTGAGTGCAAACAGTTGCATGTGTTGTCCTTGGGGCATACTGGCAAGAATGTTTTCTGAACAGATAAGGATGAAAAGCATGGTTGTCCTGATGTGGAGTGGCTTTTCTCACTCTTTTCCTATAGTATGTTTTTACTGGAAGGCTATATCCCGATGAAATGGGACAGGGAATGCTGGGGGCTGCCTAGGATGGAGAAACCCTCTGCTCCCACCAGTACATTGGGATTAGTGTTGTCTAGCCAGCATTCTGGTCTGGGACATGGCAGGTACAGAGAATTTGGATGAGATCTAAGTGAGGCTAAAATGGGTTCTTTATAGTTGGCCACACAGTGGCGTGTCCTGACTCATTGCATGAAGGTGTGCATTATGAACTTGGATAAGGTGCTTCTGCCTGTGACTTTTTGTAGGGAAGCCTTTGGGTCCTGCACTCCTGGTCAAGGAGCAGCATCGACTGATATGGGGCTTGATGTGGTGCAGTAGTGGCTTTCAGTAGCTTTTGTAAGACCGAGTTGAGAGAACAATTTTCCCCATCATGCAGGACTACAGCCTGGAGAACAGAAAAGACCTGTCAAACTCCATTTTTTATTACATATTCATAACTTGTTAGAGCAGGTCCCGCTCTGTCACAGAAATGACCTTTGTGTGTTATACATCTATTGTTCTTTGCTGCACAAAGTCAGTACTGCCAGATGCTATAGTCCCTAATGGAGCTGTAGCTGTAGCAGGTTTTGTTTCAGCCCCAAAAGTAAAGAAGGACCTGACTGTTAAGCATAAAAGGAAGTGTGTTTATGTAGCCTGAGTAGCCACAGAAAGACACTGTAGGATGTGTTCTGCCAGGAGGGGTTGTCACAAAGAAGTGGAAGATGGTTGAACACATTTCTGTTTATTGAGGAAAGCCTTGTGCAAATATCTCCCACATTTTAGCAAAATTTACAGCCTCCAAAATTGCTAGCTTTCTGGAGCCTCAGAGGCTTACAGTGCTAAAGTCACTGGAACAACTGCTAATGAGTTAATTACAGTGGATTCATTAGTTAAAATTGCAGCCAGAGACTTGAATGTTGCAGATAATTCTGCTGGCAAGTGGTTTACACTGCTGGGCAGATCTTTGCCTGATTTATGACATGGAGTTCTTGCCTGATTATCCCGGGAATTCAGTTCTGTTTCTGTCTTATTTTTAAAGATTATCTTTTGGTTCTGAAGAGACTTCATATGCGCTGTTAGCGTTGCTCTGTTTCTTTTAAATCTGGACCCTGCTGACACCAAAAGAGAACTGGGGAGAAGAAAGGACAACTTTGTTATGCTGTCTGTGAGGAATGGGACAGCCCAGTCAAGACACACCTGGAGTGCTGGTCTGCCTTTGTTTAGCTCTGCCTATAGCCAACTTCCAGCTTGCAGAAGTGATTACAGCTCCTAGTGCACCAAACCCTTGGCTCCTCCGTGCTGAAGAGATGTAACATCTGTTGGGCCAAACACCCTCTCAGCTATCCATCACCCAATAGATCTGAGGCATTGAGAGGCTTACAAAGAAAAATGAAGCTAGTTCATAGCCTCTGAGGGTCATTTAGTGCAAAATAACAAGGATTTTGTCAACAGAACAAAAATTTGTTGTGTAAATCAAGAGTTGAACTTTTTTTTTTCTTTTTCTGTGTGCACCTATTTGATACTTAAAATAGATATTTAGAAATGTTTTTTCTTGGCTTTTTTATAATATAATGGCCAGTCTTCGCGAGCGAAGATCCGGGGAAGGTCTTTCCACCTTCCAGCCTGCGCATTGGATTTTTTAGGTGAGACACAGTGTGCGCGGAACTGAGCCCACCCTTTAATCCTAAGGTTCATCTGCCGGGGCCAAGCGAGCTTGGACGGTGGCAGTGAGGTCCTTAGGACGTAGGTGGGTTGCCTTTAAGGGCTAACGAGCCCCACCTGCCCGGGAGTATATATAGTTACTGAAATTGTCCAGAAAATGTGTTTACTTAATTTACTTTCTTATAAGTAGGAAACATATGAAACCTCCTAAAACCAGCAAAAGCAATTCAGAGATCAGGTTTCAAGCTTACCTCAGATGTTTTTCCCCAGCAAAAATTGCAGCTGTGGGTATTGTGCCATTTGGAGATACTCTCAGGTTTCCCAGACTCTTCCAGTAAAGCCTCTAGCTCTTTCGCCAGGTTTTGTTTGAATACTTTTAGCTGACTTTTTGATTAAGCTCAATGAATATCTTCCTTCCACCTTGGCTCAGCAAGAATAGCATCTCAATTTCTCTCCTGTCCAGATAGGTGGACCTTTGACCTGAGGGTTTAATCATTATTCAGGGTCTTGCAGCTTTTTCATTAGGAAAAGGAATTGATACAGAGTCTGCTTTTCCTCTACTACAAATCTGTTATTTCAAACACCTACCAAATCCCATTTCTCTGAATAGAGTAGGAGTCTAGTTTTGGTCCTAGTTCCACACTTCTTTCCAGCCTGCACTAAATATATAAAAGTTTCTCTCATACTATACTTGAGATTCCACTAACAAAATTTTTGTCAGATCCATTTTTGTGGGCTTTCCTTGCTTCTCTCCCGTGTGTGTGTGTGCACAGGGCACGTCTGCATCCAGCACCACTGAGTTGCTTGTAGCATTCAATCCCTGAGCAAACCTGCCTGTCTCATCTTGCTTCTGACAGCTTCAGTTAGTCGTGTCTCAGTGTAAGTCTGTTATTCATGTGCTGAGCTGTTAAAATTCTTCTTACCTTTGACACTTTGCTGCTGCTTAGAGAAATACCTCAGGTAGTGGTGAATCGGGAAGAAGTAAACACTTGTCTGCAGAAGCCATTGAATTGTCCCAGTCCCAACGAATCACGTGTTCCTTGTGTGTTTAGTTATGCTGCTTCTACAATAGCTCTTTTATTCTGATTTCTGTAGCAGGCTTCAGAAAGCCATGTGATACCTGCTTGAAGTGCTTGAAGTGTTTCAATCCCAAAGCTAAACTAAAAAGACTTGTAAAGATAAACTAAATAGACTCGTGAAATTGTTCTATAAATTGTTTGTCTCTTAAACGTGTGCAAAAAAAAGGTCAACATTTAACAGCTATAGTCTCTGCACAGTGACAAGGGCTAGAGAATGGCTTCCACATATGGCTTCCACACATGGCTTCCATCTGAATAGTTTGCTTTTGTAAAAGTTTGCCAGTGTTATCTGAAAATGACAAAATATTAGGTAGATTAGATACAAGAATAAAAGAAATCCCTTGGCATAATGTTCCAGAATATTTGAAAAAGTTCTCCTCCCCCAGCCAGCTTTCTGATGCTGCTTTCACACTCCTAGATTGATGGGTGAGTAGTTTCCAACTTCTACAAATTAGGAAGCAAGAACTTTCTCCCTCTCCTACACACTGTGTTTTTGAACATGAATATTGTTGTGGTGAGTAGTGACCAACAGTGATGAGATGAACCTCATCCTGAACATAGGAAAACCTTATGCAGCCTGATAGAAAGTTTCTCCTTCAGTCTGGGTTTTCATGTGTTTTTTCCCATTTATGAACAGTTTTTCCTACTAAATGCCTTCCTGAAATTAATCAAGTTTTCACCAGGGAATGAGAATAAAAAATGTTTTACAAATGCATTATCAAAAAAGGAGGGCTAAGGAGAATCTCCGCCAATTATTGGATGGGGGGGTAAACATAGCGACAAAGTATGAGGAAAAAGCTGAGATACTTAATGCCTTCTTTGCCTCAGTAATTGTCAGTAAGACCAGCTGCTCTCCAGGTGCCCAGCACCCTGAACTGGAAGACAGGGACTGCCTACACAACTTAGACTCATAAAAGTCTGTCGGGTTGGATGTGAATGGGCCGCAGGGGTACTGAGGGAGCTGGCAGAAATGCTCACCAAGCCACCTTCCATCATTTACCAGCAGTCTTGGCTAACTAGAGTTGACTGGAGGTCAGCAGATGTGACTCCCATCTACAAGAAGGGCTGTGAGGAGAATTTAGGGAACTATGAGCCTGTCATCCTGAGCTCTGTGCAGGAAAAGGTCATGGAGCAGCTCATCTTGAATGCTATGACATGGCACATACAGGATGCCTGGGGGATCAGGCCCAGTCCGTATGGGTTTAGGAAAGGCAGGTCCTGCTTGACCAACCTGATCTCCTTCTATGACAGGGTAATCCTCTTAATGGATGAGGGAAAGGCTGTGGATATTGTCTACATGGAGTTTAGTACATCTCCCACAGCATTCTCCTGGAGAAACTGACTGATCATGGCTTGGATGAGTCTACTCTTCTCTGGGTAAAAAACTGGCTGGATGGCTGGGCCCAGAGAGTGGTGGAGAATGGAGTTACAGCCAACCTGCATCCAGTCACAAGTGGTGTTCCCCAGGGCTCAGCCTTGGGGCAAGTCCTATTTAATATCTTTATTGATGATATGGAAGTGCTGAGTGCACCCTCAGCCGGTTTGCAGATGACCCCAAGTTTTGTATTCTCTTTTGGCACACGAGACCTGATGGGTTGTGCCCAAGTGCTGGGCACAGTCAGGGTGTCACTAGGCTGAGGGAGATGAACCCTCCGTGACCACTCAGCACTCACCAGATACATCTGGAGTTCTGGGTCCAGATGACCCCAAGTTAGGCGAGAGTGTTGATCTGCTGGAGGGTAGGAAGGCTCTGCAGAGGGATATGGACAGGATGTGTATTACGTTCAACAAAGTGAAGTGCTGCATCCTGCGCTTGGGTCACAACAACCCCAGGCAGTGCTGCAGGCTGGGGGTAGAGTGGCTCAAGAGCTGCTCAGCAGAAAAGGACCTTGGGGTGTTGGTTGACAGCAGCTGAACATGAGCCAGCGTGTGCACAGGTGGCCAAGAAGACCAATGGCATCTTGGCTTGTGTCAGAAGTAGTGTGGCCAGCAGGACTAGGGCAGTGATTTTCTCCCTGGTGAGGCTGCACATTGAGTCCTGTGTTCAGTGTTGGACCTCTCCCTAAAAACATTGAGGTGCTGGAACATGACCAGAGAAGGGGAACAGAGCTCGTGAAGG